AAGTTCGAAAAAGTTTGACACTATTGATCATGTTATCAATGACTCATGAATCTTGGATTCAGGTGAGAGGGGAATTATTTAAGGCCCTATAAACACAAGAGTTAAACATTGTATCATTTTGAGCTAGAGATCATGATCCAAATGATTTTTCTAGAGAATTAAGGAAACTTATGAGTTGTTAATTTTTTCTGGGCTGAGCCTTTTTTATTTTTATTTTTTTTTTATTTTTATTTTTTATTTTTTATTTTTATTCTACAAATAAGCTTACCTTCTTTGGTGACCTTTTTTTCCATCAAAATCTATAGGTTTTCTGTAAGTTTTTTTTTATTTTTTTATTATGTTTCATTTCTTGTAATAGTTGCGCTATAGATTGTCTTTTGAAGAAAGTTTTTATCCTTGTTAAGGGAAGAGTCTATATTAAGCCCATTATCTTGGAGTTTGATGGTTGTCATGACATATGTTTTGGAGGTCAGAGAGTTAAGCATTACCATCCTTCTCTCTGTCGGTTCAGGAGGGGCAAAAAAAAATCTATCATCATATTAAAATTGCAATATGAATATGTTGAAGTCATTGTTTAGTTCTATAAGGAACTTAAGCACCCTTTCTTTTTCTATAAATTTATTGAGAATTATTGCATTATTGCAGTATATTATCTTGAGATCTTGGTAATATTTTAGTTCAAGATAATAATATTTTAGTTCAAGATAATAAACCTTCATCCGTTTAAAATATTCAATAACTGTGAGGTTATCTTGCTTGGTTGTTGAGATCTTAGTTTCAATCTCGTAGATGAGGGCAACATTCTTCTTTTTTTAATTTATTTATTTGACGGTATCTCAAGTGTCTTTTGTAGTAGACAGGAACATAAACAACCTTCTGATTTTAGGCAATATGGTATTTCAAAATCATATCATGATCATGGAATCAACTCCATCCCAAAGTATAAATTTTGGGTCCTTCAGCTTTGAAGGAGGATATTCTATGATGGATCTTACCTTTTTGTTTTTAAATAAAGATCTTCATAATTTGAGATCACTTAAGATAATTTCTATCATTTAAGCAATATGAGAATTGAAGGCCCTGGACTTCACCTTTTTTCTGATTTTTATCATTCATGATAGTTGACTTTTGGAAGGAGAGTTAAAGAAACTAAACATATTGAAGAGAAAAAAGGATTCCGAAAATAAACAAGAAGAAGAAGATAATAAATGTTGGAAGAATGAAACCCTAACCTCACTTTGATATCATGTAAAAAAGTATAAATATGAAACAATTATTTTAAATTTTATTATTTGATTATGTACAAATATCATTGTTTAAAATTGCGCAATATGAGGTCCGCCTTAACGCAATTCCAATAAAAAATGCCTCAAGGCTTAAGTGTCAAGCTCTTTTTATGAGGCTTACACCTCATCTTGGATGAGGCCTCCCTTAAGGCGCGCCTTGCCTCGTTGGCATGAGGCGTACGCCTCACTTTATTTATGATTTTTTTTTTAATTTTAAAGTTACCTAAGTCCTAAACAAAAGCCCCAAAAAAATCATGCCTTATTACACCCCCAAGCAGCAGCAACTTCCTCTCAATTGCCTCAACATCCAGCCCACCGCCTTCACCGTAGCAACCACCATCATAACGGTAACAGAGGATCACTAGAAAGCCGCATGCCACCACCATCTCTTAAATTTTGGAGTATTATATTTATGTTAATGACAAATATTTATGAAAGATGAAGATGACTGAAATAAATGAAGAAGAATCAAATTGAGAGGTATTGGACCCTACAAGATGAGGTAGGGAAGAAACCAATTTGTTATGACAGTGACTCAAATAAAAATTTCCTTGGTATTGATAGTACAGATGATTTCTGAGTGGTTGTCAATTATTTCAGTTTTCTTTAGTAATTAAACATAGATGAGTAGGCAACTGAGAAAGAAAGAAATTAGTGCTGAACTTGATGTTATATGATACTTTTATGTAATTCATATATTTTATATTATTTTGTTCCAGTAATATTTAGATTTCAATTTTATTTCACATCATTTTTCATTTAACACTTTACATCCTATGCAATTTTTTGTTTTATATGTATGTAAATTTGTTACTTCATAGTTCAATAGAAAGTTATTATGTCGTACGTTAACATATTATTTGGATATTATATAAAAAATCACTTTTAACTTTTATTTTGACTTTACGCATTTTTTAGATTTTGGGGCTTACACCTCAAAATGCCTTGAGGCTTACGCCACGCCTCGCCTTACGAACGAAAAACGCCTCAATACCGAATTGCGCAATTTTAAGCCTTGGTATATATATACTTTTTTAAAAATCTTTTAATAAAATTAAATAGCTAATTAAAAAATATTATAAGGGTCAACGGCTAGAAGAAGAACTATATGGATTGTAATTTAAAGGTTACAACAAGATCGATCTAACCGTTAGAACTATTAATCTATGTGTTTAAGAGTCGCTACTAATGTTGGTTGACTTAAGAGTTCCATAGTCTTTTAACACACAATATACTATCACACCTTGACCTCACCCAGTTGGCCTAGAAAAAAATCATAGAAACCTAATAGAAGAGCTTGAGCAAAAAGATAAGAAACAACTTCAAGAAAAAAATGTTTGATTTTTATATTCATCTACTAATAAGATTATCAGAGCATCTAAATCCTATAATACTTACTAATATAGCCATACAAAATGTAAATAGGATTTAACTACTACAATACCTCATCAAATAAACCGGTCTCTATTGAGTCAACTAAAAGATAATATTAATTACCTTCTGCAGTATACCGAAAACATGAGTGTGGAAACTCTTGTCTATATGATGCATAATTAATATTTTGAAAATGATACAATAATGGATGTGTGTTTGCAAAAAATTAACTTAGTTGGTGAAACCCCGTTAAGTATAAATGATAAGGCATGATGTATAAAATGTGCAAAGAAAGATAAAAATAAAAATGAACATAATTCCATAGCATTTTATAAACAGTTTATAAAAGATAGAATTTTCAAAATTGTGAATTATTTAATAGCGCTAATTATATTTATGCAAACCAATGATTTATGTGTTCAAATGCAAAAACATCCTAGTATAAGCATGTTTGTATTGATATATCAATCAGTGATTCATTAGTCATGTATCAAAAAAAAAAAAAATTTTTTTAATATCTATAGTCTGTCTTGCTACAACATCCTGAAAACATCGAGGATAGGGGTAAATTCCAAAGAAATTTAATGAAGAACCCATCGAGGATAGGCGTCAAATCCCGTTGGCCCAGCTAACCATTATCAAAAGGGTTTTATCGACAATACATACATCACATCATATGCATAAGCATATATTATATAGATTTTGTATCGAAGTAAAGGTTCTTAATGAAGATTATCTTATGTCAAAACTTTGATATCAAAATAAATCATGATTGTATACGTAGTAGGTATTTTTTAATAATCAAAACATGTACGTAAATTTTCAAAAAAATTGTACATTAAGTAGAATAGCAAAGCTCGCTATGATATCATATCAATATGAACATATGAAAGATCACGAATAAGTACGGAAATTTCAAATATAATATCAACAATCAAAGCTTACATAGAAGTTTCAAGACGCTCCCAAGAAAGAAGGTTATGCATGTCCTTTAATTAGTAAAAAGGCACCTACTTAATGAAGACCACATGCATTCCAGCATATTGATTATAGCGTTGATCTTTCTGTAGGGTTAATGCAGGTTATTATATATGCAGTATGTTTGAATCTTAATGCAGGTTATTATATATGCAACATGTTTGAATCTTTGAACAATCTATAACAAAGCTTTGCTTTATATTCCCTATATTTTGTATTCCATTTATCAGGGTGACTATGGCCCCTCTTCCTTGTGAAACAGATAGTTTGACCTTTCTTCAACCCTACTTTTGGGGTTGCAGGCAGGGAGATTTAGGCTTAGTTTGGAACAACTTTATTATTACTTCTTATAACAACAACAACATCAAGCCTTTATCCCACTACTTGGGGTCAGCTACATGAATCCTTTTTCTCCATTGTGTCCTATTAAAAGTCAAATTCTCGTTTAAATCTAATAAAGAAATATTTTTCCTAATAATCTCTAACCAAGTCTTTTTAGGTCTGCCTCTTCATTTCTTAACATAAGTCAAATCTAATACCTCTACTTTCCTAACCGGGTCATCGGAGGGTCGCCGATTTATGTGACCAAACCATCTAAGGCGACTCTCTCTAATCTTATCTTCTACTGGAGCTACTCCAACCTTTTCACGTATATGCTCATTTCGTATCCTATATCTAAGGGTAAAGCCTCTCATCCATCCGAGCATCCTCATCTCTGCCATACTTAACTTAGTATTATGTTTTTCTTTTAATGGCCAACATTCGGCACCATAAAGCATTGCAGGCCTCACCACCATCTTATAGAATTTTCCCTTAAGTTTGAGGGGTACTTTTTTATCACACAACAAGCCTGATGCATTCCTCCACTTCAACCATCCAACTTGAATTCTGCTGATAATATCCACATCTATTTCACCATCACTCGGAACAATAGATCCAAAATATCTAAAATGTGTACTCTTATTGATGACCTGATCGCCCATAGTCACAATTCCCTCACTAGGTCTATTACTACTAAAATTATACTATATATATATATATAATTGCTTTTTAAAGTAGTTTTTTAGTGCAAATTTTTTAATTTTTATAATAAAAAATGGCTTTAAGAAGCAATAAGAAAGCATCCCAAATGAAGCCTTATTCTGTTGGGAAGGTCATGTCTTGACTGAAACACTGTTGCCTTACCATGATATTTGCCTAGAGTCCCCCATCTACCCAAAGACACTGTTCCCCCTGGTCTGCTCTATGGTTTTATGCTAGGAGTTCATAAGTCTGTCACTGATGTTGTTCTATAAATAAAATATCTGATATAGATTTAGTTAATATATGTTACGTTTTAATTTGTTTACTTTGAGAATGCAGTATCGCTCATCCTTACCTTCTTGCTGACAACCGGCACTACACCTTTTATATCTGGCGGAAACTCATCCAAGCGCACCGGTCAATGAAATACCTTCTAGTTCCAGTTTATTTATATTCCTGGTTTTCTGTAACCACTGCATTAGGTAAACTTTCCTATATTATGGCCAATAAAGTATTTTGTATTTGCGTAGTTCTGTTTAATAGCTTTCTTTTCGGCTTTCTGAAATAATATTTTTTCATTTGGCAGGGAAGGCTCAGAAAAAAGTTTGGGTACTTTTGTTTTGCTTAGCCAATGCCTTAGTTCTCATCCCCACTCCTCTTATTGAGTTCAGATATTACACCATTCCATTCTTTTTCTTGATCTTAAATTCTAAAATCGAGGAAAATATAAAATGGATAGTAATTGGAATCTTGTACGCATCTGTTAATATCATCACAATGTTAATGTTTTTGTATAGACCATTTCAGTGGGATCACCAACCTGGAATCCAGAGGTTCATATGGTAGTTCACACCTTTCTTGGTTGCATGGAGGAATCTATGAAGTGTTCGCAATGTATTATTTTAATAAATTATAGTCTTTTTTTTTTTAACTTTGGATATTAGGAAATTGAGTGAGCTGTAATGAACAAAGTATTTTATTTGATGATTGTAGGTTCATGTGTGTTTTTATCTTTTCTGCCATTAATGAAAGAAATTGATGCTCGCACAAAAAATAAAGGGATTTTTATCATTTATGATACTCATTATCAACTCATCATAGTTTATTAAACCTGATTTGGGCTAGCAATGTTACTCTACTTCAAAATCCTCTTTAATATTGACGGTGGGGTTGGAATTGATTAACAAATTACTAGATGACATCCACAAAATTCAAAAAGCTATAGAAAAGCACGAGGTCAACTTCCCAGTGTAAGATTTCGTCTAGCAGAAAGTGACCCGTTTGTAAAAACAAATCATATTTGGGTCGGGTTGGGTCGGGTCAACTTGTGTCTGATTAATTTTATAGATTGGATCCGAATTCAACCCGTGATTTGATTTTGACCGTCCTATCAAATATAGAGTAGGAAAACTCAGTTACCAAGAAGGCAAGCTAGACAATTCTCTCACATATGAAACGTTAATTTCATTATGAAATGAGAAAAACTGATAATATCAAATTATTTATGTAGAAATAATGTTAAAAGTGTTTTTTTTTTTTAATTTGGGATTTTTACATACATAATATTTAAAATTATTAAAAATACATATTTAATACCTAAACTTTCATATTTATTAATATATTATAAAATATTATATCACCAGCTGATTCTACAGTGTGATAAAGTCAATTTTTTTATACAGTATGAGCCCACTTTAAGCTGCCACTTTCTATTCATCAATTTAGCCTGATGAAAATGGTAAACGAGATGGATACAACAAAGAAGTTGTTCATTACAGCTGTTTGAAGTACAATCCTCAAACAATGTATTTTTATCTGTCGTTATAAATTGTAATAATGGGATATATATATATATATACAAAGTTGACTTTGAATAAGTTTTCAAACATTTATCTTTTTCCGGTGACCAATTTTATTAACTCCAAGCAAATATTTGTATGCCATATAATAAACTAATAATGGCATGTTTTTCAAGTACAGCAATGCTTAATTTTGAGAAAATATATATTAGTGTCATGAAATAAAAAATATAAGTGTCACGTCCTAGAATATTTGCAGCGATAGATAAATATAAATTTTAACATCTTAGTTTCATACGAAGATCCAACATACAATTAGATAAAAGAGATGGTATAATGTACATAAGAGACACTAGAGTTTTTATGTGGAAACCCTTAAAAAAGGAGGAAAATCATGGGGCTTTACCAGTTTAAATGAATCCACTATGGTATGCAGTTGATTACAAATTAGACCCTTTCTTGCAGAAAAGGCCTTGGCTTGATGTAGTAAATATACATCATATAAAGTGTATTACATGATGGGAATTGGAAGAATTAATATTGACATGTTGGTTTGGTCGGCAGGATCATAGTCGGCGAGCGACGGAGGTTGGAAAGACCATAGGCGAGGCGGGTGACGGTGGTCGGAAGAACCGTAGTTGGTGGGCAACGGAGCTCAAAAGGACCGTTATTTGGAAATGGACGTCGGAAGGACTATAGTCAAAGAGCGACAGAAGTTGGAAAGATCGTAGTCTTGCAATAGAGGTCAGAAGGACAGTTGTATAGAGATGTAGGTTGGAAGTAACGTAGTCGACGGGTGATAGTGGTCAAAAAGACTGTTGTTTGGCGATGGAGGTTGGAAGAATCGTAGTCGAACGGGAGCAGTGGTCATAAAGACTGTTGTTTGGTGATGGAGGTCGTAAGGAACATAGTTGGTGGGCAACATTGGTCATAAAGACTGTTGTCTATCGACGGATGTCGGAAGGACTTTAGTTGGTGGGCGACAATGTTCAGAAAGATTGTTGTTTGGCAACGGAGGTCGGACGGACGATAGTCGACGGAAAATAGTGATCAGAAAGATCGTTGTCTGGCAATGGACGACGAAAGGACCGTAGTCTATGGGCGACAATGACCAGACAGAAGTTCAGCGTTAATTGGTGAATTTGACATAAGTCTTGTGTCAGCTAGTGGCTGGGCGGAAGTCCGACATCAATCGATGGCCAAACAAATGTCTGATGTCTGTTGGTGGTCTAGTGTAAGTCCAACAATAATTGGAAACTAGGTGGAATTCTAATGTCAATTGGTGGCCTGACAGAAGTCCGACGTTAGTCAGTGATCATGTGAAACGTTATGAACGCAACACCATCTCTTTTATCTGATTGTGCACCGGATCTTTGCACAAAGCTAAAATGTTAAAGACCAGCTATAAAAGCATCCCATAAATACTTCAAAGAGGACGACAAAACGATATTAACATAAACTGTAAGAAATATATATATATAATATATATTTAATTTATTCATTTATAGAAAATGCTCATATTATTTACGGAGAAAATTTTATTGCTTGTGAAAGAAAGCAATAATTTCTCTTATTAAAGACCCCTTTTTCTCTATTTTCTTCTCTTCCATCTCTCCCCCACTTTTTTTTAATTTTTTTTTTCTCTTTTGAGCAAATCAACAATATTGTAAAAAGTAAGAAATCCCTATGGATTAATGGATGTGGACTCCTTTGTTGAACTTTTCAACTCTTAATATAATCTAATATTCCTTTGCCATCAAACAAAGGCATAGAATAGGATGAATTCATACAGCTAGCTGGATTTATTGCTTTGAATCATTATTCCTAAACCGAACAAAATAACTCATATAACTGGATTTCTATTACAAAATAGAGTTGATTAATGGTTATTAAAACGTATTGCTAATTTGCTATGAAAAAATTTTCCAGGCCTTCCTGATAATCTTGAAATCGTCCTGCTTCAGGACGGCATGAATGAGATTCTAGATTTGATCGGCCGAGTGCCCGCGCACGCAAAGTTCCAAACTTTGCTCAGTCTGTCCGCTTTAAAGCTATAAAGCAGAGACCTCGTCCGCCATTAAACGTTCCATACCAGTTACCACAGCCAGCATTGCGGCGGCCATTACCATGCTTCCCTTCCTCCTCTTCGTCCTGCACTTCATCCCATCATCTTTCTCCTCCTCCTCCCCCATCACCCTCCCCGGCTGCCCCGACAGCTGTGGCAACGTCACTATCCCCTACCCCTTCGGTACCAAACCCGGCTGCCACCTCCCCGGCTTCCTCATCACCTGTAAAAACTCCTCCTTTCCTAAGCCCACCATCTCCGCCGTCTCAGGCGACATCGAACTCTCCTCCGTCTCTGTCTCCACCTCAAACGCCACCGTCTTCTACCCCATCACCCGCAGCTGCTTACCCTCCGGCCAAGCCAATTCTTCCATCGACATCTCCAACCTCCCCTTCTCCCTCTCCTCCACCCGCAACAAATTCACGGCCGTCGGCTGCGACGCCGTGGCCTTATATGCCGCAAGCAAATCCTCTAAGAGAGATACCACCTTTGCCGGCGGGTGCCTTCCCTTCTGCAACAGCGCCGACATGATTTCAAATGGGACTTGTAATGGCAACGGATGCTGCCAGACCGCTATACCCACTGGGCTACAGAGGATTTTTACCACTCTGAAGACCGATGCAAGTAATTCAGTTAATTCGAGTGACTGTAGCTATGCTTTCTTTGTGGAACAGGAGCAGTTCGTATTCAATCCTTCCTATATAACGAACTTTTCTGCAACTTCTGTGCCTTTGGCGCTGGACTGGGTTGTTCAGAATGGCACCTGTGCTAAGGGGAACACCAAGTGTGGGATCAATGCTTATTGCTCTGATTCTACCATCTTGTCGGGGTACATCTGTTCCTGCAACAATGGATTCTCCGGGAATCCTTATCTCGCTAATGGATGCCAAGGTATGATTTTTATTTTAATTTGACTTCTTACCAATTAAACTGTTTGAAGAAAGTTCAGACATGAATTTACAATCAAGCGGCTTATTTGACACAATTTGGTGCTAACAATAAAGATGAAAATTCTACTTATTTGACACAATTTGGTGCTTTTGAATTTAGTTGGGATCCAAAAAGGGGAATCCTTTATTTGATGACTTAAATTTCCAATTTTGGGGGTAAAGATTTTAAATTTTACTGTCTGCTTGGCGATAACTAGGATTTAATTAACTCCGAAGGTTTCTAGTTAATTCGCTACATATTCTGATTTAGTATGATAATTATCAAATCTTGTTATATCTTGATAGTTTATAATTTCAGAATTTAAAATTAGTATAAAACAGAGAATTAAACTGATTACATCAATGGCTAATTTACAGACATCAATGAATGCCTGGATCCAAACAACAATCCCTGCTCTTTGAATTGCCAGAACACACCCGGAAGCTTCGTCTGCTCATGCCCCCGCGGCTACTACGGGGACGGAACCAAATCCGGCACCGGCTGCTCCAAAGCCGTCAAACGTTTCCCTCTCGTCCAAGTAGTCATTGGTATCGGCCTTAGCTTCCTTTTCATACTCCTCGCCGCCTCCTACCTCTACTGGGTTCAAAAGAAACGGAAACTACTTTCCCTCAAAGAAAAATACTTCCATAAAAACGGCGGCCTTCTTCTCCAACAACAACTCGCCGGACGTCACCACGCCGCCGACCAGACCGAAACCGCCCGCATTTATACCGCCGAAGAACTCCAACGCGCCACTGATAACTACAGCGACGCCCGCATTCTCGGCCGCGGAGGCAACGGCATAGTCTACAAAGGCATTTTCCCCGACAATAACCGCGCCGTCGCCATTAAAAAATCCCGTAGCGTCGACGGCTCAAAAATCGAACAGTTTATCAACGAAGTCGTTCTGCTCTCGCAAGTAATTCACAAACACGTCGTTAGAATCCTCGGCTGTTGTCTCGAGACTGAAGTACCTCTTCTCGTCTACGAGTTCATTTCCAACGGTACTCTCCATCACCATCTCCATGACCAACCCGGCTCTCTGTCATGGGAAGCGCGGCTGAGAATCGCAGCCGAGACCGCCGGAGCTTTGGCTTACCTCCACTCGGCTATCGAACGGCCGATCTTCCACCGTGACGTTAAAGCTGCAAATATTCTCCTTGATGAGAATAACATGGCCAAAGTGACGGATTTCGGCGCGTCTAGATTGGTACCGCTTGATCGCGCGCAGGTGACGACTATGGTGCAGGGGACTTTGGGTTATCTTGATCCAGAGTACTTTCAATCAGGGCAGTTGACGGAGAAAAGCGATGTGTATAGCTTTGGAGTGGTGATGGCGGAGATGTTGACAGGGCAGAAGCCGATATCGTCGGTGAGGATGGCGGAAGGTAAGAACTTGGGGGTTTATTTTGTGGCAAGAGTGAAGGAAGGGAGATTGATGGAGATTCTGGAAGGTAGGGTGAGGAATGAAGGGAGCATGGAGGAGTTGGCGGTGGTGGCGGAGGTGACGAGGAGGTGTTTATCGAAGGACGGGGAGGATAGGCCGACGATGAGGGAAGTGGCGTCTGAGTTAGAGAGGGCGAGGCGTTGGAGTCAGAGGAAGAGCTTATGGAGGGCGGCATCGGTGGCGGCGTCGGTGGCGGCGTCTGAGGATGACGGGGAGTTGGTGTGTGATAAGTGTAAGGGATCAGGGAGGCGTAGTAGTATTCTTTCTGGTTCAACGGTGTATGAGGCCGATCAGTTTTGTGAGAGCCCGGAGACGAGGGAGAGTGATAGCTTGTTATTAGAGTCCAGGAACGCTAGCGCAGCTGGATCTGGTTCTAATGCAGATAGCTTGGATGGGAGGTTTATGCAGACTTTCATGGCGCTGGATATGCAGCGGTGAACAAGTTTTTATTTTATTTTTTTTAAGTAAAAAAGGATGGAGTTTTGATGTAAATTAATAATAATAAGAAATTTCTTTTATGTAATTTTATAAAAAAAATTATATAAATAGGATTTCTGTTTGTGTGAAGCAGAGCCCTACATGAGGTAAGATTTTTTGCCTTGACTGCCAACTTTTAAGCCACATATCAAAATTTATCGTGATCGCGGCGCGGTTCAGTGCTGCGCACTGCATAGTAAGGATTACTATAATATATTGCATGCATATGATGATTAGTAATGCAAATCGATTTGTCCCTTGATGTTGAGTACCCACCCATATCCAATTACGAGGTCATGGGCATACCCATACCCACCCATGCCCATTGGATATTGATGTAATGGATCGTCGAAAGACTCGACCTGCAAGAATGATTTTTATCCCAATCCAGAGAACAAGAAGAACACAAGCTCTAAGGCTTCAAAGAGTATAATATTTCATTCAATGTTGCTGTCTGCTCCCTTGCGGACTCTATTCCCATATCTGATGAAAATTGGAATATCACCTGGATTGGTGAAGGCCAGCCTAATTTTAAATCCTTTAAAATGCTGTATTTTGTTGATTATGATAAAGTCACCTGGCATAAGTTCATTTGGCACAAACACTATGCTATCCGCTTTTCTTCTTTTGCCTGGCTTGCGGTTATGAAGGGGCTTAAAACAGCAGACATCTTAAGCGAGCGTAACATCTATATCAATCCGATTTGTCCTCTATGTGAAAAAGAAGAAGAAAGCATTTTACATTTATTTTTTCAATGTGATTTTTCTTTTGAAGTGCTGATTACTCTGATTCCTGATGCTGGAAATTTCTTGCTGAGGCCTACTATCTTACAGATTTTTGAGTTTTTGGATGAAATTCAGAGGTTTAACTCAAATGAAAGGAATTTCAGTTTTTTAATGATTTGTTGCCTGGTTTATTTCATTTGGCGTGAAAGAAATAGCAGAAGATTTATGCAGAAGAAGGCATCTCCTATGGTTGTATTGAATCTGGCAGCATCAGCTATTGTTCTCAAATCCCGCAGATGGAAAATCTGGGAGAATTTTGCTGCCTCCTTCCCCTCATGCTACATCCGCCAAACTGGGTTCCAAGTGGATCAGACTCCTGCTACCGGGCTATGATGTGCCGAACTGTGGTTACTTGGTTCTCCCTGGATGGCCTCCCTTGGCCTTTTGGTCCAATTTTGGCCTGGCAAATTTTTCCCTGCACCCTTGGATCATTTCTGTGGCTTCTGGTGGCAACTGGGAGATGGTTCGTTAGCTTTTTGGCGCTGATAGTTTTTCAGCCTTCTCCTCAGTTCGGCTTTTGCTGAGCCTTTTGTAGCAATTTTGTTGTCTTTTCCCTGGGACTTGCTGTTTGCTTTTTTATTTTAGTTTTCTTGCTATTTTTTCTACACATGTAACCACCTTTTGATCAATATACGGGCTTTGCCCCAAAATTCCCAAAAAAAAAAAGAAATGGGCAGCTGCAGCCCGCACGAACAAAAGAATGACGTCGAATATGAGGAGAATAATTAAAAATAATGCAAAACTAGCTGGCATAATTTGATAAGAGGAGTTGAATTAGTTTCCAGTAAATGTATTCTTTCTTTTTATCTTTGCATTTTATTGTAATTATATGTTTGTTGCTTATGCTTGTTATGTAATTTGATTTATTGATTGAGAGTTTCGATTTCTAATCAAAAGGTTTTGAATTCAAAACTTGCACATATAATGTGTATGTGAGTTTGTCTCAATAGCTCAAATGTCGCAAAACAAAAAAGTTATATAATTTCTTGTTTTACCTATTTGATGTGCTGATACTTAGAGGTGTCAATTTTGGGTCACGGGTCGGATTCGGGTCGAACCTGAAACTGACCCGACACTAATCGGGTCAACTCGAACCCGACCCGTTTTTAAAAACGGGTTAGTTTTCCTGACCCGCTTCAGGTCCAGGTCAACCCGACATGACCCGAATGACTTGTTTCCAACAAAAAATTTCTAGTTTTCGGGTCAAAAACGGGTATATCTCCTCTTTTTCGGGAAAAGAACATGTCAAAATCGGGTCAATCTTGGGTTACCGGGTCAAAATAGGGTTTTCAGGTCAAAATCGGGTCAAAGGGTTAACCCGACCCGATTTTTTAAACGGGTCGAAATATTGAACCCGAACCCAACCTGTTTCGGGTTCGGGTTGACCATAACCCGAAACTTTCGGGTCGGGTTCAAGTCGGGTTTTCGGGTCGTGTCAAATATTAACACTCCAATTGATATTGAATTCTAATTTGATGGATACTTTTTATGGGTGCTAAGTTTGATAACTTAGCTTTATAGAATTGAGTGGCAAATTAATTTGTCCATTATTTTTTGGATGTTTTTTTTTTTTTTACGTTTAGATCAATTAAGATAAACTCATACACACATATCACATACGTAAGACTTGAATCCAAACTTTCTTAGGTTATAATCAAAGCTCCCAGTAAACAAATCAAAATGAGCTGTATTTAATCTATGTTTGTTGAAGATGCATATTTCTTTCTCTCTCCTATAATTATTTCCAGCGTGACCATTGTTCTGTGATTTCACGGTCCATTGGTCGTTTCATATTTTATAAGTAAATGAATTCTAAAAGGGAAGATCGGCCTACTGAAGTTCATACGGATGTGCTGATATGTGGGAAAATTATTACGTCCAGTGTCTGGATTCATCCGGACATCAATCTAGATGCGCCACGTCACCAAAATACACCGGAATCCAATGTATTCGGGTGACGTGACTCATCTGGATTGGGTGTCTGGACATCCGATGAACGGACATAATAATTCGCCTGAAATGTGAGGGACCACATTTATATTGTTATTATTATTATTATTTTCTCCTTGATTGATAACAAGGCCTTAGTGGGCCGGGTTTGAGCAAAGCCTTTAGTTCCTTCACAATGCAGATATTGCAATTTGCTTGTGTGGACTCAAAGATTACATCTTTTTTTAGTATATTATTAATTCTGTCATTTGTTTTTGGGCTCTTTTTGGGTTATATTTTTTTGCAATCCTTATGTTCTATGGAGTATGTTTTTATATTGGAAATTGGACACAGCTTCACATGCGTTGTTGGCACCAGATAATTTCTTAAGATTGTGAAAATGGGGCTAGACAATGAACTAGAAGAACGAGAGGTTTACGGTTTGATGATTCGACCAACCAGGAACTAATTGGATGAGATAATAAATATTATTTTTTAAATAATAATAAAACTTGCATAACAATGATGCTATGATTCTAAATATGTGACAAAAAATTAATATAATTAAAAAACTATGAAGTAAAAAACTTACAAAATTAATTAAAA